AAATTAATAGTATTCACCACAACGGAATGATGTTGTAGTGTAATTAGTAATCATTTCAAAATTTGAAAAACATTTTCTGGGATGTCAAAAGCAATCAATGAACCATTTTCTATTAACATTATACGATCTGAGTCGGTAATAGTGTTCAAGCGATGAGCAATATTGAGAACAGTCTTGTCTGAGAACTCTTTTTTCAAGCTTTCTTGAACAGTGAAATCTGTCTCTTCATCAATATGAGATGTAGCTTCATCCATTATTACTATCTTTGAATTCTTAAGAAGAGCTCTACAGATACATAGTAATTGACGCTCTCCCATTGAAAAATTCTCTCCATTCTCGGACACTGGAAATTGTAACTCATTATCCATTTGTAAAACTCTATCTTTCATGTTAACTTTCTCCAAAGCATGCCAAATTTTCTCATCTTCAAATTGATTAAGAGGATCAATGTTGAATCTTAATGATCCAGAAAACATGGAAGATTCCTGAGGTATGACTGCAATTTTAGACCTCAACATTTTAACACTAATGTTCTCAATGTCCACATCATCGATCTGTACAACGCCTTGCACATAACCAGCTGAACGCGTGAGAATAGACAACAAGCTGGATTTTCCAGACCCTGTTCTTCCAATAATTCCGATCTTCTCTCCTTGATGAATTTCCACATTGATGTTGTTTAACACAAACTCGGAATCTGTACTATATTTCAAAGAGACGTTCTTCAACATAATAGTTCCATTGGAGGGCCAATCAGTGATTGAAATTTCATTATTTGACTCTTCATGTGGTAGTTCTTGACAATAATGAAGAATTCTCTCAATAGCATTCATATCATTTTCCAAGTCTGTGGAGTACCGTACCAACCACTCTGCGTTATTGGTGACAGATAATGCATAGGAAAGGCATAAACCTGTCATGGTAGCTGAGACATGACCTATCAGACACGATAATGCTGTAAATAGAACCACACTCACCCCAAAAAATTTCAATCTAAGAGCAATCCATCTCTGAGCAACAATTTGTGTGAAGATGGCCAGGTTAAGTTGGTCAACCAGTCTTCGTTTTCTTTTGTATAGATGTTTTGCTTTCTTTGAGAGCGAATAACACTACATCCTTTGATGGTTTCCATGAAGTGCGAAAGCAGAGGACTCTTACTGGTTGAAATAAGTCTCTTAATTTCACATCCTGTTTTTTGATAATATATTTGAGTCCTCCAGTATATGATAATTCCTGGAATAATTGGAATCATGAACCATGGAACAATAATAGAAATAACTAGTAATGTTCCAAGCACAGAGAAAAGGCAGCCCAATAGTGACTTGAACGAAGTAATTAAGGAATTGTCAATGATTTCAATATCACTAGAAAATCTATTCATGATTCTTCCAACAGGTGTTGTATCAAAAAAACACAATTGGAGCAGCCATCAACTTGGAAAATGCTGTGTCGTGGAGTTTTTTAGCAGCTTTTAAACCGAACACACTCATCAATACTTCTGAAAGGAAAATACAAACTGCACATCCAATACCAAGTGCAATGTAAATGCCTATGAATAGTGATTGTTCAGTTGTTGAATTAATGGCACCACTATTCGTTTGTTTGGACCAAAATGCTAAAAACCAGCTGTTCAATGATTGAACCGTTTGTGACAACGTGAAAAGAGCCAGAATGACAACAGTAGGGATAATACCACCCATGTAGGACAAGTATTGAAGGTATAACTTGTAATCTATATGTCCCTTTGCTCTGTCTTCTTTAGATTTTTGAGG